CCACAAAAGAGGGAGGCCCCCGAACAAAAAAAAAAAAAAAAAAAAGGAGGGGGGGAAATGACATTTACAAGAAAAGAGAAAAATATCAAACTAAACCAAAATTTACCTGTAGAGGCAGTATGAATACACTAATTTCATTGCTTTCATAGTCATATTTTCATGACTATTTTTCCAAAATTGTTCAGAGACTTTTGTTCTGCCTAAGAATTTGATAATAATTCTCAAGCAGATTTGATAATGCTCTTTTAAAAAAATTTTTTTTAATTTTTATTTTTAAATTGAAGTAGAGTTGATTTACAATGTTTCAGTTATACAGCAAAGTTATTCAGCTACACATATACATATATGTCTATTCTTTTTAAGATTCTTTTCCATTACAGGTTATTGTAAGGTATTTAATATAGTTCCTTGTGCTATACAGTAGGTCCTTGTTGTTTATCTATTTTATATATAGAGGTGTATATCTGTTCATCTCAAAGACCAAATTTATCCCTCTCTCTCTTTCCCCCCCACTAACTGTAAGCTTTTCTATGTCTGGGAGTCTCTTTCTGTTTTGTAAGTAAGTTCATTTGTATCATTTTCTTTAGATTCCACATATAAGTGGTATCATATGATATTTGTTATAATAATTTGTTATTATTTAATAAAAATATTGTGTAAAGAAACATTAATTTTAAAATAGGTAAATATCTGAAAACTCTGTATGCCAGCAAAAATGTGTGATAGTCTTCTAAAAAGTTGGAAAATTCATTACTGGCTTATGGTTTCTTGAAACTGAAAATGAGGAAATTAAATGCCAGAAACTTTATTAAAAACAATACTCATCCTAGGCTCTGAGTAATAAGACTTCTGTCGCTCGTGTTTTGATATCAGTAGTATATTTAGGAAAGGTGATGGTATCAACATTAAGAATGTTAAAGAACAGTCACATTACTCTTAATAACGTCAAAAGCTGTCATGTATTTTTAAATGTAGTCTCTAATGGTTACATGCAAAGAATCTTTTAATTAATTTTGTTAACTTCATTACAGTGTTCTACATTGTATACTTTAGAACTAATACATAAAGGCCCCAATTCCCCCAGTGTGCATTTCATTTGCCCCCATCCTTCTTAATTTTAAAGACCATCATTGGAATACTGAGTTCATAATAACATTTCCATCTGCTTAATTGAGTAAATTCATCTCATGCAGATTAGCAATAGCTATTTTATGCTTCCTGTTTTTCATGACCTAATTGCTAATCTGCCCTCAAGTCTATTTGCTTTACTGCTGAGATTGTGCAGAGTCCTCTAAGAGCTACACTAGAACTACACTGAGTAGGGTGTGGTGGTGTTACTTACTGACATGGTATTTTAGGGGGGAAATCTGAAAAAGGGTAATTTCTTAAAAATAAATATCATTCTTCTGGGAAGTCTTTATGGAAAAAAATGTGATGATTTATTTGGAAATTTTTGAGCATTTCTTTATTATAAACTTTTAATCAATTTTATGTTTTAGGTTTAAATCCAAGTTGAATATTTATAAATATAAGACTTTTTCAGTGTTAATAATATTTTTATACATTCTCTAATTGTGTGAGTTTTAATCTAAGTCAATAGATGTGAGTTCTAAGTACTATAATGAAACAGCCCATATTGTGAATGGAAAAAAATGAGTTATTTTATGAAGAAATTGATTGTAAAGGTTAAAATTTGAATAGAGAAAAGAAGGGAGGAAGGGTAGAAGGAAAACGCAATATTTCCCTTTTTTACTGTGTACTTTATATGAGTTAAGAACAAAAGCAAAATCAAATAATCAAAACCCTACTGTCAAGTACTTCTTTTTTGTCTACAGAGATAATCATTCCAGACATTATATTTTTCTTCTTGTTGTGTGGTCCCCACTCCATGCCCCAGTGATGGCCTAAGTAGGGGTGCCAAGGGGACAGTAAGAACATGGTAGACAGAATATATCTCTTTAGGGTGGCAGGATGGGAAAACATTCACCTTCCCTAAGGTAATGGAAGACTGGTTTTCTAGAAAACTTAGGTTCATGAGGAAAGGACTTGCTAGCGCTGATTTGTAAGCTAATTCAGGGGTTGATGGAGAAGGAGGTCAAAGGAGGTAGGGCAGATGTAATCCCAATGGGTTCGAACATTTTCCCTTTGGTAATATAGGGTGCT